GAGCAACAGCGGAACAGCAATATCAAATGTTCAGTATTTTGCATTTAAAATCTTTTTGGTTTTAAATAGCCTGATGGATTATAGACTATTTAAAAACCAACGGTAAAATCCGCAATGGTAATTTTGCTCTATTCTGGTTAGCCCCATTTTCATAAATATGTATATTCTGTATGAATTTTGACATTGTTCTGTTTTCAACTTAAATCTTACTAATATAATATGTCATAATATCGTACTTCGCAAGCATTATATTAAGCAAAAAAAAAGTAAAAAGAAACACGATAATTATAATAGATAAACATATGTATGTTATTAGTTGATAAAGTACGTAGATTCTGCACACATTTAACGGTATGTAGGAAGAAGTTCTGTTCACGAACAAAATTGTTCACCTGTTTTTGTTTTACAAGTTTTTTTTCACTTTACCTGTGAACAGAATGAGTGGTATTGAATTTGTATAGCATAGTGTATTGATTTTTTTTTGTTGTTTTCTGAAGACTTATTTTATTTACGTTATTTACATAATGTTTATAAGCATGTTTTAAAATTTTAGGTTCATCTAAATTGAATGTTAATTTTTATATCGTATGTTAGTTTGTTTGTCGGTCGTGTGATGACATTCTTGATGACATTTTTGAATGGCTCTAGCATGAAAACGGCTTAACGTAGAAAGCTGGAGTCTGGACCTTTAGACACAGCTCTTCGTCGGGAAAGTTTGACTTTTTTGAGTGATTTTTTAGAGCGTTTTTTTTTAGTGACTTTTTTAAGGGATTATTTGAAGTGCCTTTTTGAGTGACATTTTCAAGTGATGTTTTGAGTGACTTTTTTGAATTATTTTCTTTACGATGATTTTTTGGTAATGTTTTCATGGTAAAAAGCTGGGATTTTGTCTTTTTTAGCTAGAGGTTTTTTCAAGTGATTTTTTAAGTGAGTTTTTCAAGTGATTTCTCGAAGTCTTCTGAGAATTCAGATGACACAAAGCGAAATTTTAACCAAATTTACACTTTTTTAGGTATGTTAACTAAAAGCTTACTAGTGTAAGCTTAAAATTGAAAGGACGTGGTCAAAGGCATTTTCATAATATTCTGTAACACTTTCATCAAACTAGGCAACACACATTGCAGTCTGTCTGACTACATCAGATTAGAATAGGCGGTCGGTTATGTGCTTTTTTTCTTAATAAGTATCAGCGTTTCGATTTTTTCAATTGTCATTTTTATGGGTTTTCTGGTAAATTAGTTTAAATTTAACTGGCATGTTGTACATGTATTACAAATGTTAAATTACTGATTTTAAAAATTTTTACCTAATTTTAAAAATTCTTACCTGATTTTGAGAGTTTTTACCTTTTTTTAAAATTAAATTTTGTATTCTAAAAACGCAATTTATATTTTATATTATTCTTTACATTGTCATAAAAGAAAACAATAGTTTTGGGTTGTTTCATCGTTTTTCTAATGAACAAAAGACAAAAACCGATTTTTTTTTTTGTATTAGTAGACTCAAACGTTCGCCTCAAAAAATTTAGATTCAAAAGAGAAGACACAAAATTTCATAACTACAAAACTACAAGTTTAGTATATGAGAAAGAGGGACGAAACGTAGTATGAAAATTAAGGAACTGAAGAAGAACACAACAGAAAATCAACAGAAAATATAAAATTACATTCTTGGATAGACAGACAAAACTTTGTTGTTTTTATTTATTTATTTATTTAATGTTATAAACTTATATGCCAATTGAATGAATTGACGAAACATTGATAAAACAAAAAAAAAGGGAATTTACAACTGATAATGCAAATTTTAAATATATGATTAATTCCGAAAATATGAAAAACAATAAAGTTGGGTCAAACCAATGGTTTGTATTGTAGCACTTTTACCTTAAAGAGGGGTTAACATAATGCTCGATTTTAAGGGTTAATTGTGTGAGTTAAGGAAAATAATTATATTTTTTAATGCGATGGAGTTTACCGTTAGCTTTTTGCGTTTATAGAAATTTGAAAAAGTTTGCAGTTTGGGAAATATAAGGTGCCAAATATTCATATTTTACAAATTTCGAGAAGCAATAACTTGTGAGGGGGTGTAGATGAGAAAACATTTTCTTCTAACGAAATAAACTATTTATGAATATTCAAGAACTGCCAAAATTTCAGACTCCTGTAACGTACAGTATAGCAGAAAAACGGCATTAAAAATTTGGAAAAAACGGGTTTTAGATAACGATAAATTTTAACGGCCATTTTGTTTTCTTTTAAAGTTCAGAAATAACATGCCGCGATAGAAGAAGCCAGTCACTTTTTTTCTGCTTTTGCAAAATTTGAAAAATACTTATTGTTTACATATTACAATATTACTTTTTTTATAAATAACAATTACAATATTATTTTTTTTACATAAATAATTATGTAAATTGCCATATTACAATATTAATTTTGGCCAAATTTCAGTACTTTGTTTTCAACTTCAGTTTCTGAAGTATAGCCAAATAACTTTTGGCCAAGCAATTTCAACGACTTTCATCAAACACGTTGGCCCTACTAATATATTCGCTCGTGTGAAATTTCAATACCGTAGCTTTTATAGTTTCTGCAATAAAGTCAAATAACTTTTGAAGTTGTATGGCAGGTACCAGAAGGAGCCAAGTAATTTTAACGAATTTTATCAGACACATTGGCCCTACTAATATATTCGTTTGTGTCAAATTTCAATATCATGGATTTTATGGTTTCTAAGGTATAGTCAAATAAATTTTGAAGTAGTGTGGCAGCTATCCGAGCCAGTATTCCGATCATATCCAATTTAAATAGAGTTCTGGCATTTACTATAATAAATCATTTTCCTATGTAAACCCTTCGAACATACGTTCGTACGGGTATACATAGATCTTCTTTTTATTTCAGAATTGGTTTTTTTTCGAAAATCATTTTATTTTAAAAATTTATATTTGTTTCGTTTGCCATGAGCCGACATATATATAAACAAATAATCCACAAATTTCTTTGATATTTGATACTGAACTTGCAGCTTACTCACTATAACTTAAAATTTTAAATAAATTTTTAAAGGAAAGTCTGTGACTAGTAGACTTTGTTATCGCTTATGTGCTGAGCACATCCATTGTTTTTTTGTAAATCTTTTCAAACAGTAATTATCATCGTTTACTTATTTTCGGGTATGTACATATATGTAAGTACGGTGGTTGGTGTGAATAACCTAGGAAAAAAGGTAAAAAACATGAAATAATAATAAAAAATAAATTGGAAAGAAATGTAAAATAGGGAAACCAAAGTTGACAATATTATACAAAAAACAATGTTGTACTCTAAAATCGCTAAGCATAAAGATTTTCTTTTTTTTTTTTCGTTTTTTTTTTGTATTATATTTTTATGGTTAAAAACGGAAATGCAATACCATACCGTAACTATTTACACAAAAAAAAAATAAATAAAAAACTTAGAGAATAATAATATACAATAAATGTTCTATAACTTTTTTATTATTTGAAGTAAAAAATCAAACAAAAACGCAAGAGACAATTCATTAATAAAAAAAAAATAATACCAGTCTATAATTACCGACTGCTATAAACACATAGTATAACATCTGGATGCACCTAATATCATAAAATGCAAAAAGGGCGAGAATTAAAAAGAAAATAAACAAGTAAAAACGTTTCAGTCGGTATGAACCGATTGAATTATACCCTGCACCTTTCATTGTTGTATAGCAATTACTCAAACCTGTGAAACAATTCTATAGAAACTTCACGGATATGTCTGATCTATAATTGGACACACAACTGCCAAGTTTCATGAATCTAACTTTATTACTTTTCCAAATATTCAAAATAAGCTTTTGGACTTCTGTGGGAGCCACTCGAACCTGTCAAGCAATTCCACCAAAACTTCAGAAATATCTTTGACCTATAATTGGACACACAACTGCCGAGTTTCATGAATCTGTCTTTATTATTTTTCCAATTATTTAAAATTAGCTTTTGGAGTTGTATGGCAGGTACCCGAACCTGTCAAGCAATTCCACTAAAACTTCGCAAGTATATCTGATCTATAATTGGACACACAACTGCCAAGTTTCATGAATCTAACTTTTTTATTTTTTCAAATATTTAAAGTAAGCTTTTGGACTTGTATGGGAGCTACTCGAACCTGTCAAGCAATTCCACCAAAACTTCAGAAATATCTTTGACCTATAATTGGACACACAACTGCCAAGTTTCATGAATCTGACTTTATGATTTTGCCGAATATAAAAAATTTGCTTTTAGAGTTGTATGGCAGCCACCCGAACCGGTGCAGTTATCTCATTAAAATTTTTAGAGCATGTGTAGAATATAATTGGACACATGTATACAAAATTTTATATTTGTACCTTTATTAGTTTTTGAAATAATTAAAATAAACTCTTTGAGTTGTATGGCAGCTACCCGAACCCGCTGTCCGAACTGGTCCAATAACAATAGGGTTCGTCCTTGGCACAAAAGAAGCAACTTGTGAAAGTTTGGTGTCGATTGCATTATTCGTTTTTGAGTTATCGTGCGATCGGACGGACGGACGGACGGACGGACATGTCTAAATCAACGCAGAATTTTACGCTGAGCAAGAATATATATATATGTCCATACCGCAGATGACTCCTTCAAGTAGTTACAAACTCCATACCAAAGTTAATATACCCTTCACGAAGTGCAGGGTATAAAAAGATAAAATGAAGGGCTATTACGCTTCTCTCTGTACCCGGTGATTAGAGTTACCGATTTCGACTCTCCTCTTATTAAATGATTTTTTAATTATTTATTTTCAATAAATATATTTACCATTTTTTATTGATTTTAATGTTATTTAATTTAATACCAGTCTATAATTACCGACTGCTATAAACACATTGTATAACATCTGGATGCACCTAATATCATAAAATGCAAAAAGGGCGAGAATTAAAAAGAAAATAAAAAAGATAAAATGAAGGGCTATTACGCTTCTCTCTGTACCCGGTGACTAGAGTTACCGATTTCGACTCTCCTCTTATTAAATGATTTTTTAATTATTTATTTTCAATAAATATTATTTAATATAATGCATTTTAAAAAAATAATGTATTTTTCTTCCGATTTTTTTTCTGAATTAATTTTTATTCGTATTTTAAATACTTTTTCACAATTTATTTAATAATGTCCTTTTTTATACATATTCACAAATATTATATGTACATATATTTTAATATTTTCACGGATATTAAAAGTTAAACGAAATAAACCTTTCCATTCATAAAAATTGTTGTTTAATACCGGCATGTATTTTTTTATATTTCAGTTATTAACGGCAACTAAGAGAACTCCCACGATTGTTGTTTAATATCTTTTAGAATTATCATTATTTTCTTTTAATAATTAAAAACTATTTTATTTTAACTACAATTTTTAAATTTAATTTAAAATAACTTTGTAAACACTTTTCTGTTATTATTTTTATTTAGTAATATATGAAATTTATAAAATAATAAAAAATACTCTACAATTTTTTTACGGTAAACAAAATAGCAAAAAAACACAGATTTTTTACATCCTAATATTCAAACAAAAAAATATTTTCATGCGAACTCACGATCTACTCAATTTAACGTCTTAATCTCTTATAAAAGCTGTTTAAATATATTGAAAAATTCAAATTTACCTTCTTTGCTAGCAATGAAACAAAATAATCATAAAAAAATAACAAACAAAAAAAATTAGAAAAAATGAGTAAATTGAACTACACCACAGGGTTGCCATAAATTGAATTTAAAAAAATATCACAAACAGAAAAATGGCACATTTTTATTAATTTATTAATTTTTAGTACTCTGCAGCAATTAGTAATTCTTAATTTTAAAGCGTATGTATTTTTTAACCATTCTTTTTTTTCAATTTCTTTTTAAATTTAATTTCTTATTAAAAAATTATACTCTTTAATTCAGTATTCAGTAGCTGTCCATTTGGAAGACAGGACAGGTAGACTACGTTAAAAATTGAAATTTTTCACATTTTTTTAAATGCATTTTTCAGCAGAATTCACGAAGTGATTTTTATGAAATTTAAATTTTAAAACTTCTTCACACGCTTGGTGGCACGATAGATATATATGGCGTTAGGTTTTACGAAAAATCCGAGAAATATCCAAATAAACTCTTTTTAAAAATTTTAATTAACATCTTAAATCAATGCAATAACAAGTCAAAATTTTTCATAGTACGAGAGTCTAAAAAAATAGTACTATCATGAAAATGGTACGATTGGCAGTACTGCTACACATCAAAACTACATGCAGCCCATTATAATAACAAAATAAAAAATTTCTTTGATTTTTTTTGCTTTTCCTGTTTATTTTTTTTTGTTGTTGTTTTCATTCTATATTTTTAGCGACCACATTGTGTATACAATAGGGTAGGTTATGTGATTGCACCAAATTTTGGATGTAGAGTTTTCGGTGGGAACGCACTTCTCCATAGTACGGAAGCATAAATAAACTACTTTTAGAGAAATGTCGGTATGTCAATCTGTGTGTGCAAGCGTTTGTCTCGAGTTTGGCTAAACCGATTTTGATGAAATTTTGTCATTATGTAAGTTTATTTCAACTATGTCACGGATTGATCAACTTTTGGGGTACATCAGGCCTCGGGAATTGGACCTTTTAACGGACCTGTTTTGCATATTTGATCATTTTGAAGAAAATATTTAACAGAATTACTTAAAATTTCATATATTAGCTTCGTTCGACTGTATGCGAAACCTCGTATCTTTTGAAAGAAGTCAGGTGTTAGCAACTTTAAATTCGAGGTGTTAGAACAATGAATCTATATTTTTTGGAAAGATCAGGTCTCGGAAACTGATCTGGGGGCCGATTTTACATTTTTTACAATATCTACGGAACGAATTGATGGATTTGATTTTTGGTTGTTATCGAATCGAATTCTCTTCTGAAATTTACACTTTTCTAGGTATGTTAACTAACAGCTTACTATTGTCCCTAAAATTGAAAGGAAGTGGTCAAAAGGCATTTTAAAATCTTCTGAAATACTTTTACTAATCTAGACAATATTGCGGTCGGTAGTGTTCTGATCACATCAAATTTTTTTAATATTGTGGTTATAAAATTTTTGCGGCAAGCATTTTATTTTATTATATTGACAAAACGAAAGACAACAAAAATTAACTTTTCATAAAGTTCCTCAAATCGTTGTTTTTAATACATACTTATAATTATACAAAAGTGAAGTGAGTAAAAGTATAGAATATGATAAAATGCATGCACCTTAAAATATCGCGTGTACGAGTATATTTTGTTTTTTGAAATAATTAATTAGGGGCGAATCGGGGATTTGTTCAGTATGGTGCAATTTTGGTATTGTTTCTGTTTTCCAATACAATTTATTCTAGAATAATGGGCATGTGTATTCATAATTGTAAATATTACAACAAATCGAATGAATTAAGTATGTACTCGGTATGATTGAATTTTCACATTATTATTAGCATTGCAAACTTGAGTGTGTAGTGACACAAAAAAATTAATAGTTATTTAAGATAGATAGGTATACTCGTAAAATTATTTAGTGCGACAAAGTTAATCGCGTAAACAAGAGATATTACAGATTTTATAACATAGTATAATTTTTACTTTGAATTAAAGTAAATTTTTTTAATTTTATTTAAATTCTCTATTATTATAAGTCCAAAACATCACAGATATCTGTTTTTATCAATTTTTTATTCTCTATCGTTCTTTTAAATTGTGTTTTTTTTTCTTTTTAGCAATTTTCCAAAAATTTTTTGAAAAAAAGTGCTTATTAGTTTCACTCTGTCCGTCTGTTCGTCCGTCCGTCCGTCCGTGGACACTTTTTTTGTTTACAAAACTTCTACATCCTTGAAGATAGAAAGCTGAAATTTTATATGTACATAGATCTTTACTAGAAACTTACTTCCATAGAACAAAATTTTTACCTATCTCCCCCCCTCTAGAAATTATACCCCCCAAAACCTTAAAAATGGCCTTTTTTAACTATTTGTTGCAATGAAACCATAAGCATTTTTGAAATTTTGCAAACGCAGAAAGGCAGCGGCTTGCTTTCCCTAGTGCGGTATACTATAGTTAAACTTTAGAAAAACAAAATGGCCGTTCAAATTTACCGTTATCTAAAGTCCTTTTTTTCCAAATTTTTGATGTCGTTTTTCTTCTAGACCCCAGCTTGTAAAAGCTTGAAATTTTAGGGGCTTTTAGACATTAACAAATAGTTCATTTCGTTAGACGAAAATTTTTTTCCATCTCCACCTCTCAAGTTATCGCCCCTTGAAATTTGTAAAATTTGAATTTTTGACACCTTATATTTCCGAAACCGCAAGCTTTTTGAAATTTCTATAAACGCAAAAAGCTAACGGTAAATCCCATAACATTAAAAAATATAATTATTTTTCTTAACTCACACAATTAACCCCTAAAATCGAGCATTGTGTTAACCCCTCTTTATATTAATTTTTCTTTATTTCAAAGACTGCATAAATCGTTCATTCTAAATATATGCAATCCTAGAAAGAGTTTTGTATATGAATAAAAATAATTTTAATAGTGTGATAGGTATACATAGACTATATTTAAAAGCAGAATTTTCACTTTTTGAAGGGAAAAGTGCTACAATACAAACCATTGGTTTACCCAACTTTATTTTGTTATTAATTTCACTGTAAAAGTATATTTTAGGTTTTTGTTTTGACTATCTGGTTGCTTAGTTATTTTATATGTGATTGTTTTATGAAACGTTAAGATTAAAATTCAACCCTAGTCATTTTATTTTTGGATTATTTTGCTCTAAAGATTGCTACAGCATAAATTGCTATATTCAGAAAAACATTTCCTAATTACAAAAATCAATATTTGGATTGGAAGTATTAGTTTTTCTGCATACGCTCAAAATCATGCTTTACTTGAAAAAACAGTTGCATTAGATTAAATTCTATATCCACTAGAATTACTTAACTTCTTTCTTTTTGAAACGGTAGTTATAAACAAGAAAACTTAAGTATCGCCAAATTTTTTTAAAATCCCTGTAGCTCGGAATCGGTTTCGATTTAACACTATGTTCTGAATAAAAATATTACTCATTTTCCACTCTCTACCCAATTTGTTGCTGAATTTTAATTTCATCTTGTTATTTCATCTAACTTATTGATTAATTTTAGTTTCAGTAAAAATCAAAAATAGTGAAATATTTTTGATTTTCTACATTTTATTAGGGCCTTCAAAATCTTGACATAGAAAAGGTTGTTGTTCTATATCTTCTGTACTATAAAAGATTTTTCAATACTTAAAAACTTAAATTAAATGTAATTTGTTACAGGTTTTGTGAGTTTGGCATAATCCTTTACAAATCATCTGTAGTACTAATCGGAGAGGCCTAAAAAGGATCGTAGGTCCTAGGTTCTGGGTCTTTAAGTGTCCTAGGTTTTGGAAAATTTGTTAAAGCTTCCACTGTCGCAAGATTGCTTTTCATACCATCCGCCGTAACAATGAAGAGAAGAAATTCCACGCTAGTGTTAAAAAATTCGCACTTGTCCAGCTGAAATTTGAGATTGGATTGTTTCAAGATCCTGAAAATAGTTCTAATGTACTTTACATGTTCTTGCTCACTCTCAGAGTCGATATCGTCGATATAGACGTAACATATTTTCCAAATAAAGACCCTTGACTATCGTCAAGTGCGCGCTGAAATATTGAGGAAGCATTTTTCAGCCCAAAAGGTGGTCTCAGAAACTCATACTTTTCCCTAAGTCACATTCTTTGAGAGGTAGAAAATGACGTCTTCCCTATGTCACATTTTTTGAGTAAAATTTGGTGGAAACCATTCCGTAAGTCTATCACTGTGAAATATTTACTTTATCCCGATTGGGCGAGTACTCTGTTTATTTCGGGTATCGGGTAGCGATCGGCTACCATCACCTCGCTAAGCTTGCGATAGTCAATGACCATGCTGAGATTTTTTTCTCCGCTTTGATCAACTTTTTTGTTTACAACCCATACTTGTGAGTTATGCGGAGACCTGGAAGGTCGAACTATTTCGTCCTTCAGAAGTTTTTTCACCTGCCTTTTAACTTCGTCCTAGTATTGTAATATTCACTGTAGACTGGGCTATCCGTCGTGGCCTGTATTTCGTTGTAAACGTCAGTTTTTCGTCAGGTTCGCAAAATATGCTTTATTTTGTTTTATCAAATAAGCTTTTTCTTTTTCTTTTCTGAATCAAAATTTAATTTAATTCTGAAATATATTTATTTAATTTATTGAATTGTTAAACATGTTTTTTTTTCAATTAATTATAAATTTAGAAATTAACTTTTCGTCACATTTTCCTTAAATTCTGGTGTAATTAAAAATTTGTTATTGTAAAAATATTCAATTTATCA